TCCCTGTACCCTGAAACCCTGAGTCCTCCACTTTCCCGAGGAAAGTGGGGAAGCCGACGCCGTAGTTGCCCGGCTCACCGGTCCTTTTGTGTTTCTGCGACCAACAGGATGCCTTCGAACGAAGTCCTGCCAGCCGCCTGAGCAACAGAGTTACCCAGCGTCCCAGCGAGAAGCTACCAGCGAGGCGGCTTGCAAGGCAGCAACCTCCCAGCAGAGAGCAGTCTCGCGCGCCGCAAGACACCTCAGGCGCGCTGAATGCTGGCAGCGGCGGCCATTATGTTGCCGAGCAACGCGGTCAGCTCGCTCGTTGAGAGCCCGCAGGAAACTCTCTGCCGCACCGGACGAGGCAGCCCAGCCAACAGGCACGGGCTTGCCATGGCTCGGAACCCACTCAAGCTTAAGAAGCAAACCCCTGGCATTCAGCACGGCAATGCCAGCAGTGATCTGGGACACCAGAGCTCCGAGAGATCCGCGCCCCGCCACGGCATCCAACAAAGACTTGCAATCGACGACAACCCACAGTGTGCCGACGACGTCGAGGAAGAGGGCCGCTCTAACGAGCAGCGCAAGGGCACTCAGCTCGGCCTTGTACGCAGACTGGTCTTCACCCTCCACGCCTGCAGCGACCTCTGTCCCCTGGTCAAGGACGACCGAGAAGGAAGCAACTTCAGCATGACAGGAGCCATCGGTGGCGACATGCAGCCAGGGCCTCTCAGGGACCCATGCAGTGCGCAGTGCCTCGGCAAGGTCTTCGACGATGTCGGAAGTGTCAATCACCGGCGGCGGGGCAGGCCACTCAGGGACAGCACAGCCAAGCAACCGCTCCTGGATGCGATCGCGAGGCGCCCCCACAGCAGCAGAGCACTGAGGAAAGTGGGCGCACCCCCACAGCAAGTGAGGCCTGCTGGGTGCCTCCAGACCACACACGCATGACGGCAGCACCTCCAGGTGGTGGGCCTTCTGCTTATCCCAGGCCGAGCAACCATGGCCAAGGCACAGCTTGTCCAATGCACGAGAGCCCGTACCGTAGAGTTTGTGGTGGCCCGCGAAGAGGCACAACGGCTCAGCAGGGACAGGCAACGACGGACCAGTCGCAAGGCCCTGAACGGACCGGTGGTAGTCCAGCCGGAGCCTACCACAGCTCTTAACGTCAGCCCGGCGGTGGAAGTCAGCGAGCCAAGAGTGAAGGACCTGGGGCCCATCGAAGCCAAAGCGAAAGCTGCGCCACACACCCAAGGAATCGAGTCTTTGCAAGCTCCTTTCATCAGCCGAAAGCTGCCAACCAAGCTCCCGCAGGATCGAAGAGATGATCGGCAGGGTCTGCCCCAGCGGCCTCAGCGCAACGGAAAGCGGCGCAGTGTCCTGCCAAGCACGAGTGCCAGAGCGGAGCCGAATGAGCTCATGCAGCACCGCCCAGTGGCGCATGAAGCACGGGTCGCACTCGTAGCCCACGACAGCCAAGCAGAGCGGAACTGCCTTGTCCCGCGCGGTAGCAGAACCAACCCTGAACAGAAAGTCCCGTCGAAGAGCCCGGGCATCATCGGCAGAGACGACTCCAAAGGCACCGGCCCAAGTGATCATCGGCATGACCAAGCGGCGCATCAACGCGCGGCGCGCGATGAAGCTGCGGGTAAGCACAGCAACCAACCTCAGCCTGCGACGCACGTGGCCAAGAGCGAAAGCAGCAGGCACAGCAGCACCCTCCTGCCCAAAGTCAAGGGTGAGGCCCAGGATCGTGAGCTGCTCAACGCGAGAGTAGCCGCAGACAGCCGCTACTTCACCAGCAATGCCAGAGGCTGAAGACGCCGCGATGGCACATTTCCTGCTGTCACAGTGGAAACCAAAGGCAGTGTCGTACTCGTCGCTCAGAGCTTTAGCAGAGCAGAGAGTGTCAGAGCTGCTGGCCCAAAAGTACCTGTCGTCGACAAAGGAGGCAGCCCTAGCACCAGCTGTGCCAAGAAGTGCAGACCACCCACGAAGCACTGCGGCTGCCAGCAACGGGCTGAGCGGGCAACCTTGACACAACCCCCTAGAAGCCTGAACCCAGCTCCCTGAAAGGAAGCCCGAACGGCTGAACAAGCGCTCCTGACCGTCGTACAGCGCCTGGACCACAGCAACCAGTTGGGGAGGCGCAGCAAGCCGCCTGAGCACAACCATCAAGTCTCTGACGTCAATGGCATCAAAGTACTTGGCCAAGTCCTGAGCAACCACGGCAGATTGCGTATGCTCCCTCATGCCGGCCAAAAGCTGGTGTACAAGATCCTTGCCGGACCGAGCGGGCACACCGCCGCACGAAGTGTGGTCAAGCCAAAGGCCCACCCAAGCATCGAGCTGGTGCAACATGTGCTTAGCACCCAGCCTCCAAACAACAGAAAGGAGCGAGAGAGGCCGAGTGCCTCCCTGCCGCTTGGGCAACAAAGCAATGCGCACTCTCTGCCAAGGGCGCGGCACGTCGCCTCTGTCAGCGATGCTTTGCCAAAGCTCAGCCAAGGACTGCCAGAAGGAAGGCGGCAAAAGCAACAGCTCCTCGGCCCTCCACTGGTCCACCCCCGGGGCCTTGCCCTTCATGGACCGAGCCATGCCACACAGACTCGGGCCATCAAAAGTGACCTGCCACGCACACTGAGGAACTTCAGGGAGGGCACGAAGCGCGTGCAGCACTGCATCATCGGAACGATCGCGACGGGCCGTCCAGCGAGGAGCCCACTCGGATTCGGCCTGCTTGAGCACCTCAGTAGGAGCAGTGACGACCCGAGGATCCAGGTCCCCCAAAGGCACAGAGGGCCGATCAGCGGCCTCCTCCAAAGCACAGCGGCGACGAACCCAGGAGCATTGAGCACCAAAGTCGTCCGAAGTAGTGGCGAGCCAGCGCCGCAAGGCCGCCCGCCTCTCGTCATCAGCCACAAGCTTAACAATCCCGGCAACGGACTCCAACGCATCAAGCGGATTGGCATCAGCGAAAGCGCGAAGCTCCGGAAAGGTCTCAGCAGCGCAATGCAGATCACCCCGCACTTTACGAAGCAAGGGAGCATCAGCGGGCACCCGAGCAAGATGCGCGAGCCGCCGATGCAGGCGCCGAAGGCGAACCAGTAAGAGGGAATCAACGCCAGCCGCGGCCCGATGCTTATCCCGGGGACGTTTAGGAGTCCAGAGCGCGTGGCGAGCAACCACCCCAGGCACAGCCTCAACACCCTCACCAGCGAGCGCTTCCTCAGCAGCAGCAGACAGGAGCTCCCAGGCCCCAGTGCAGTCGACCTTCAAAGCTTCACGAAAGCTGCGAGCACGAGCACGCCAGAAGCGAGCCCACCTCGCTTCGTCAACTTCGACCTCGGCTAAAGGCAAGCGAGCAGGCGGAACAAAGCCGGCAGGAGACTCAAGGTCAAGGGTGTAAGCCGTCCCCAGGTGATCAGCACAACCACAAAAACCACAAACCTCCGTGGCAACGACCAATCTGGAAGACACAGCGTAGTCGATCCTCCGAATGCGGCTTGGGGAGGTGGCCGGCAAGGGCCCGCACTCGAGGAAGTCGTTGTCAAGGACTCTGGCGAAAGGAAGGCCAGCAAGAGTGCCTGCCCAAGGTGCCTCCTCGACCGTCACATTGAAATCGCCCAGCGCAATCCAGGAAAAGCCCGAAGCATTCAGCTGCACCAGCACGTCACGAGCAAGGGCCGAAGCCGCCTCAACATCCTCGGCATGGCCGTAAAGAGAGCACAAGACAACCTTGCGGATCGAGTGACCACACCGCAGCTCAGTGGTGACTGCAGCAACACGCGATGGATCGGCGATGCCTTCAAGGAGCACGGGAGCACACTCCAGCCTGGAGAGGAGGCCAACACGATGCCCTCTAGACCCGCACGGCCCGGCAAAGAACTGCAGCCCATGACGACGGAAGGCAGCGGTGACATTGCCAAGCGAGTGAGCATTGAGATCAATCTCCTGCAAAGCAAGCACCGCCAAGCGCTCATCAGCAAAGAGCGAAGCCACGGCCTGGACCTTGGTCGCCAAGCACTTACCAACGTTCAAGGTCCCCACGCGAGTCAACTGGCCAACCCAAGGAGAGTGCCCCGTCATGACAGCTGTCGTTGATCAGCGGCCCGCGGCGCAGCCTTGGCCAAAGCGGCGCGCGCCTCCTGGAAGAGGCTCTCAAGTTGATCGGCGGGGAAGCCATGCTTGGTGCCCCTGATTTTGCGAATGCGGCACTCAAGGGCGCGCGTCCGCTTGACATGGGCAGCTTTGCGCGAAGCAAACGAGAGCGCAAAAGCACGCTGACAGCAAGCCGAAGTCCAAGGCTGGGATTTCGAAGGAGGGCTAGCATACACATGATGACATCGAAGGCACTGCGGAACAAGTCGCACGCCCAGCCTTCCACGTGCCCGGCCCCGCGGGAAATCGACGTTAGGCCAACGCACCAAAGTAAAACCCTTAGGGGCCGCAGTCGTCGGCACGTCCCTTACAGCAGACTTCTTGTTAGCAGCAGCAGCACGTCGCCTGGCCAAAGCACGCTGGCGAGCCTGGGCCTGCTGACACGCGGCTTGCTGGAACGCGGCATTGGTGATGCCAGGATGCCGCTGCTGCCTGTGCCGCGCGGTCGCGATCTCCTTGGCATGCTTGCTCACCTCAACACCTTCAGGCAGCCCAAACCGACACAGCGGGCACTTCCACTTGTAGCGCTCAGCAGTGCACTCATCTTTGCGAAGTTGCCTAAACACACCATAGTCGACCCTGATGGCCCCAGGCAACCCAACGCCATCATGAAACCGGACAAGGTGGTGGTGCCTGGCACTGGTAACAGCAGCCCTGGAGCCTTCAAAGGCAAAGTCACAGAGATCACACTCAAAGCGAGGCCTGCCTCCGCGGACCAAAGGATTCTCACGAAACCTACGCTGGCAGATGGCATGCTTACTCGGAGCCGGCTCACACACCTCAGCCTCGGCAGCACCTGCAGGCACAACGTCCCGGCCTCGCTTGCGTGAAGAAGTAGAGGCAGACTGCGACTTGCCACCAAGCAAAGAGGGGGCAGCCGGAGGGGAGCACCGCGTCTGGCCACCAACGGAAGAAGGGGCAGCAGGCCCAGCAGTGCAACCACCAAGCGTCGAGGCAGGGGTCCGGCCACCCAAGGAAGAGGCAGCCCGCCCGGCAGAAGGAGCGCCACCACGTTCAGCAGGGTCACCAATCTCAGCTTTGACGGCCCCCGCAGAGGCATTCTCAAGGTCAGCGCTTTCGCCCACAAGCGCCTGATAGTGGCGATCGCGAAACCAAAGGGCAAGAGGCGTCTTGGAGCCAGGGGCACCGAAGACCCGGATGTCAAACTCGCCCGCTCGGTCGGGATTCGGCCGGAAGACAAAGATCTGCTGCGCAAGAGTAGCCGCGGCCGCGGCGAGTTCGATGCTGCCGGCCCAGGCCCCAGGCTTGCTAAGCCTGAGGAGATAAGCATCAAAACCTTCATCGAGCATGGGCTCCTGCTCAGCACTCGGCGCGTCACCCCGCCAGAAGCCAGCGTAAGTAGCCTTGTGCCTCCTCAAATGAGTCACGACCAAGTTCCTCAACTCCGCTGCGCTCCGCTTGGAGCGGCCCTGATGCTGAAGCGTATCAGCCAAGGCCAAGAAGAGACACTCGCCCTGGCCGGCATTGTCGCAAAGCTTCAGCCCGCCGGGAAGCAGCAGAGTGGAAGCAGCAGCTTCGGCTCGGGGCCGCTTGGTAGGGCCTCCAACAGCAGCGGTAGAAGCCGGCAAGGACTTGCCATCATCCAACCTCGGGCGGTCATTGCCAGCATCAACTGCCATGTTCCCCTCCGTTTCTTCAGCATCAGCGCCAGCACGCGCAGGACGAGGCGGCTCAGACTTAAGCCGGTCCTTGGGTCCCTGCCGAGCAGGCTTGAAGACCTGCTTGAGCTCAAGAGGGAGAGCACGATCATTGCGCACCGGGCGGTCGCCACCAAGACGCGTCAGCTCGAGAGCACCGTCCTCAAGGACAAAGGACATGAAGTCAACGTCGGCCTCAGCAGAGGCCCGAAAGCTCCAAGCAGAGGTGCCTCTCCAGGGAGACCTCTCCTCAATCTCAACATTCTCCAACCCACACTCCGTCACATAGCCCTGAATGTCCTCAAGGCTCCAGTCACGGGGGACACCGGTCGCCCGCCATCTCCTGCGCACAACCTTGGGCCGTGCCAGGTCCTCAGGAGTGGAGGCCTTGCGCACACCAAGCTGCCGATGCCCACGAGCAAGCCCAAAGTCAGCAGGCTGGGCACCACGGCTGCACCGACTAACATAAGCCGGCCAATCCTCACCCTCAGTCCAGTCAACCCAATGTACCGTAAGCCCGGGCACAGTCGGGAGCTCCTGATCGCGATGCACGTTGGAGACAAACCAGCGCATGCCGGCGCAGCGGGCGCCAGACATGCTCATGGCAAGCGCGGCCCGGCTAGCACTGACGCGGCACAGGCCCTCAACGGTAGCGCCCTTGACAAGGCTCCAGGACCAAGTGTCCTTGCATCCTTGGAAGGCGGCATCAGCCCACTTCCGAAAGTGAGCCCCAGGCGCCTTAGTCATTCCATCCCAAGCTTGCTCCCCAAGTCCAGCATAGACCCAGTCTGCATGCACGCGAAGCACAACGGTCTGCTGCGGCGTTGGTACCTGAGGCGCAGAAGCCGCGGGCTTCAGCCGGGGAGCTTCATCACTAAAGTGAGCCACAGCAAGCGAAACGACTCGAACCCGGCCCTGCCAATCGCCCGGCACTCGCTGCACTTGCCACTCGGCCTCGGTGAACTCCTCTCTCTCAGCTTTCAGAAGAGCAGAAGGGACCAAGAGCGTGAGATCAGGTCCGCAGTCAGAGCTCTGCACCACAGTGCGAAAGCGCTCCAGCTCATTAGCGTCGGTCACCAGGGCAACAGCATCCTTCCTAGTGTCCTGCAAGAACTCGGCAACAGACTGCACAAGGACCGGCGAAGGAGACCAGTCCTGAGGCCGCGGCTTCCAATGTTTAAACAACGCAGCGGGGTCGGCAGCCGACTCACGCGGAGCACTCGCATGGCCCTTGCCGCCTGCACCTTTGCTTTTGCCGGCACCTTTGCCCGAAGTCATGCCTGAGCCTTTGCCGGCAGCACGGGGAACACCAAGTTGCACAACGCGAGGGGGGGGCGCTTGCCCTTGCCCACCCTGCTTCTTCTTAGGCTTGCGCCGGCTAACAGTCTGCCAGCCGTCAGTCGCAGAGGAGGATGGGGCCCACGCCGAAGAAGGCTCCCCTCCCCACCAATCACCATCAGCACCAGCACGGGCTCCAGCACCAGCCCTTTCAGAAGGCATGCCCTGCCAGTCGGCCTTTTGAGCCGCACGCCTCTGCCTCCAACGAGGGGCCGGCTGCACCGACCAGTCCTCAGCAGCAGGAGGAGCTCGCTCTCCCGACCAGGCCAGCAACAAGCGCTGCAGCGCAGCGAAAGGGTCCGAAGGACGATCCCACAGCAACTGCTCCAGCTGACGAAAAAGCTCCTCGGCCCCATCCTCAGCGTTGTGCCCGGCCTCCTCGTCATTGCCCCAGTCCTCAAGAAGCCCATGAAGACCTTGCAAAAGTTTTTCCGTGCGCTTGCGGCGCGTAGCGCTGGAGCCGCCGGCGCCCCCACGGAGCGGATCACGGCCAGCACCGCCACAAAGAGGATCACAACCAGCATCGGGAGCCAAAGCGGCAACGGGCCCAGCTCCACATCCATCCTCAGCGAAAGCGCCGCAGCCACAGCCACAAGCCAAAGCGCCCCCGGCCCCAAGACCTCCACAAGCTCCCACCGCCGATCCTACACCGGCGCCATGGTCAGAGCACCAAGCCAGAGCATGGCAGCAACCACAGCCGCAAGCCAAAGCGCCACCGGCCCCAATACCTCCACAAGCTCCCACCGCCGATCCTCCACCGGCGCCACGGTCAGAGCACACAGCCGAAGCATTGCAAGCCCCAGCCTCGTCATCAACAGCCCCATCTCCTTCACGATCAGGCAAAATGCACTGATCAAGCGCACAGCCGCCTCCAACAAAATCATTCATGGTGGCGTAGGCACCACTACTGCTAGAATCACGGAGAAGCTCGCTGCCATGTTGACAAGCGGGCCGTCCTCCTGTACACACCAAAGCACCAGCAAGAGGAAGTCGCCCACGAGGAGAACGAAGACGCCCTCTGCCATAAAGAGCCCAGAGTTGCGCAGCGGCACGGCGACCCAGCCGCGCCCCCTTTCGACACTGAGCAAGACGGGTGGAGCCAGCCAGCCGAGCCGACCAGGCAAGCACCCGCGGAAGAACAACAGAAGTGCCAGCCGGCGCACCAACAACCGGCGGCGGAACAGAAGCACCATAAGGTGAGGAACTCGAAACCGGAGCATCCCCCCTGTGTGCAAAGCCAGCATGTTCTGAGGAACTCGGATCCGGAGAAGCCCCACCATGCGCAATGCCAGCCTGTATGCCAGCATCTCGTCGAGGAAAACGGGCCCATGCTCCCACAGCACGAACCTCGAGGTAGCCCTCC